AAGGAAAACCAACTTTTCCAAGGAGCATGAATGACAACAGAGGCTTTTGAATACTTTGTACCTCCACATAATAATGAGCAAAAACATGAAAACAGAAAAAAAAAAACTAACAGAAGTCTGTGACATAAAAAAAAAAAAACTTCACACAACATGACAAAGTAATAACAGGGTAACATTGGCTCCAGCAGCAATCACTTTGAGCTCAAGTCAAACCCAGTGCCAAACACCTCACACCACTTACAGTTTTAACAATGATTGAATAACAAACAGATTAAACTCCCCCCTCACTACAGTCACAGTAGAGCGACATCTAAGGCATCTGCTGACATGACAGTCATGTGCAAATATTTCTATTTCCTGGAGGAGACAATATTATAAATTCGGAACGTCTGAAGTGTATATTCAACACACATTCTGGTCTGCTGTTGAGGATTATCACTCATGTACAGACACACACCTAAAAGCTATATACACACACACCTGCTATGTACATTCAGAAGTACAGTAAATTATGTATATGACGAGTTTTGGTAATGTACAACCTTACGAGAAGAGTAACACTGAGATCTTTACAAACAATACTGTTTTATGTTGTGTGTGTTCGCATGCTGAGACACGAAACACACTTTTTTAACTATACAGATAAAACATTTGAGGATCGGCGGACTGGAGGCATCGAACTGAGTTTCCTAACATTTATTTAGGGATGCATCTATTTATCGGTATCTGCCAATATTGGCCTTGTTTACTGACGGCGGCGTATTTGCCAATACGATGGTATTCAACGATATCAGTGTCTGATGTTTATCTGTCGTGTCCAGTCAATATCGTGCTGGTTAAATGTTGTGTTGGTTATTTCCAACTCGATATTGGAGAACAAAATACAGCACTGACATAAATTGCATGCAAATACTGATGTGCTCCATGCAGACTGCAACAAGGCAGAGATGCTCATCTTGATGTTGATTTATTTGTTTCCCCTGGCACAAATAAAAAGCCAAAGCATTATTTTAAACATCGATATCGGTATTGGTGCATCCCTACATCTATTTGATATTGCAGTTCAAAGTTTTAAAGGGTTCATAAAGGGTTAATATGCCCAAAATTAAAAAAATTAAACTGCTGGAAGATGGGAACTTCACCTTCCCCTGCTGCTAGAGCTGGGTATTCTCCATACAAGGGCTGATATGACATTAGTTTATGTACTTTACAGGAAAAAAACATGTTTTTCTTTTTATTTTCACAAAGCTGTCAAATGTAAATGCTGTACAAGACCTTTGCCTACATTAAACAAGTCTAAAAAACTAGGCAAAGCTTGGATTTAAAGGCCCTAAAAACCTATTTTCTAAAGTCCTACATTAAACACATCCAAAGTTTAACTTTAATTCTTAATGACTAAGGATGTTTTTGTCCAAACGGTTCTCATTCCTAGTCATGAATATTTAATGTTACAGAGAAAGGTTTCAGATGTTTTCAGGGGCTTTAAGAAACACAGAAAAGTATCTGCATCTAAGATCAAAGCTCCCAAAACTTTACTGGTCTGAATAAAGGGAACATTTTGACCCCATTAGATCTTCAGTCCAACAATATTTGGATTATTTTTTGGGGCTTTTCTTTAGACATTTTATGCCAACTTTTGGCACTTTGATACTACTGACAAATTACAGGCAATACCACAAAAGTATTCAGGTTCAACACCCAGCTCTACCTGTTGCTCTGTGTGGTGTTTCATTTATGATTTTCAGATCAGACACCGTTACTTTCTCCTCTTAAAGCTTTAAAATAAAGCGTACGGTGAACGGTTTCTCTAGAAGCAGCTTCATTTCTAGACTAAGGCATCCCTGTTTGAATAGGAACATATTTGTGTGCGCAGTGTCAACACGGTGATGGTATTGGAATGCGGCCCAGTTAAACCCTGCAGATAAACTCTGTAGTCACCTGTTCACAGCAGAGAAGTTAAAAGGTTGTGCGAGGACTGGTCAGACTCATACGAGCGATGAGGGGCTTTAACTTCAAGGTTTCAGCAATAAACACACCAACCCCTCTGCTGACGTCACACTGAGTTTACTCTCTAACCTTGACAAACATGGCACAACCAGCCGCACACACACACACTTTTCCCCCCCGTTTAAACTCAACAGCAGCTCAGAATGATGCAGCCAGTCTACAGAGAGAGCGATTCTCCACGAGGAGCCTTGAAAAACAGCTCGTGGTTTCAATCATCTCTCCTGAGCTTTTTGGTTGAGCAAACCTTTTTACATAATCATCATCGCATTATTAGAAAAATCAGCCCCAACTGTGGCCCAGGCACAAATGCTGACAGGTTAAAGTCGACTTGAAGCCCCCCCTTTTTTTTTTACTGCAGTTTCTCTTTTGAACGGGTTTCTCTATCTTGAGTTGTCTGTTTTACCTTTTAAAGATAAAAATAGACATTAATAGAGGGAGGCACAAACAATGCTCTATTTCCAAGTGATTCAATTGAATGTTCCCTATTAGAAATAGAGCACATCCAAGTGCAGTATAAGTCAGAAAATCTCCTTTTTTGCATATCAAATGATTCCACTGGGGGGTTTCCTACTAATCTCAATTCACAAATGTCTGCATTTATTCTACTTTTAGACATCTGTAGGCAAGTATAATGTCTTTCAGAAAATGTTACAGATGCTTAGTGCTGAGAAATGTTCTGCTTAAACATTAAACAACCAAAGCAGATCAGAGGCTTTTTGTAATTAGCTCTTTGGTTATTAGACTACGTTCCAACCAGAAGGCTGAGGAACTTAAATAAGAACTCTGTTTTTGTGTTGATTTTTCCTTATCAAGGCCCAGTGCGTACTTTGACTGGAACCGCAAAGTACCTGCAATGTTAAAACCAATTTAGAATCCAGAGTGAAACAACTTGATGTTAGCCGTAACACTGCTGCACTCCAGCCCGGGGCATTCCCAGGATATGTTAACAATATTCTTCTTTTACCCTAAACTTCCCATAAATAATCCCAGAATCCTTTATACTGCCATTTTCATCATCTGCTACTGTACATCCAGCATCTGTATTTATGTGCTAATATCACAAGAGTTTTAGACCTCAGTGTGAGCTACAGGAAGAAAGTAGTATGAACGTTGGTCTAAAAGCTGGCTGTACTGAAGCTCCACGCATGCAAACACACTCATACATGTTTGTTTTTTGCTTAAAATAAAACTACATTTTAAAATCAACCTTTAACCTACACTTTTGAACTGCATTGAGAGAATGAGATGAAACAACCTGTACACTGTACATTAGATGCCACACACACACACACACACACACACACTCTAAGGCAACAAGCAGGCAGTAACAGATTTTCCTGTCACAAATAAAGACAAAAGAAGCCTCCCAGTTCGTCCGCACATATCCACTTCACAAGCAATAAATAATCCTCTACATAATTTATATATAAATATTTGAGGGTGAGGAAAGATGGTGGCGTTGCGAGAGGAGGGGAGAGAGATCAGTCGAGGTGAGGGTGTGGGAGGGGGGGTGTCTTTGTTTTTTTTGTTTTTTTGTTATTTCACTCGGCGACTTTGTCCATCCTATAGACTACAGTGGTGGAGCTGTCCTGGTGCGACTCAGTGGGGGACACCTTTTTCCAAAGAGGGGCTTTCAGAGCTAGCTCTTGTTGGAGACTCTCGTAATCCATGGGTCCGAAGGAGTGCAGCTGTTTTAATTGACACGAATAATTATAATTAGTCTTGCTCCTGCTGTGTATGTGTTTATACAGTATGTGTAGTAGTTGGATATGGTTTGCTGAAACAGAAAACCAGAAAAACCAGAGCCAAAACCAGTTCATTCAATTATTTGTAAAAGTGGACAGGGGTCAGCACTTTGCTTTTACATCAGGGATGGGAATTCATACAATTTTATTTATACTGATGCCATTATTGATTCTGCCTATCGGCCTGATTCTTCATTGATTCCGGATCACTTTTTAGTGTGGTAAAAAGAACGCCTGTAAAAGGTTTTAGGTGTTTTAGTATCTTTACACATTGTAGAAAAAGAGCTGAGTTAGAGTAGTTTAGGCCACGCTTCGGACCGTTTCTCCTCTTTGCCATGAGACCTTAGTGTTAGACGTTTCAAGTAGAGCCCGACCAATACATAAGTAAAGGCTTATAGTTTTTATAATACTGATGTTTAGCTATTTCTCAATATTCATTTCTAGAACTGGTTGACAATGTACCCTATATATTCAGTCTATTGTCATTCCAGATCAAAAATTCACTATACTGACAGCTAATAATCTGTGAAGTTTTCCCCTGTAAAATAGATAGTGGGCTCACAAAACGCATATTGGTCGGGCTGTAGTTTCCAGCAGCGTAGACACACAAGTTTGCCATCATGGTTTGTTTATTCGCAGTGTGGAATATCAGAAACACACGCCGGCATCAATAAAAGATACGATTCCAGTGGACTGGACAATTTGGAACCGGTTCTCGATTCCCATCCCTACAACATACACTTATTAAATAATCAAGCAGACGGATTTGGCTCTAGTTTTTCATCAGCATTGTCATACTTCTGTAAAGGTTAGTTGACGCAGAAATGACATTGTGAGGTAGAAATTGCCAGCTTCTGTAATGACAAATGTTTGATCATTTAGCTGCTGATTATTCTATAACCCAAAGCACAGCAAAGCTGAACAACATACACTCGCTCACTAAAAGTGAGCAAACTAGAAAGAAATGTTCAGTATGCCTGAAAACACCCGCAGCAAACAGAGACAGTGCATACAAAGAACAGAGACAGGGGTCATCCTGTCTGAAATCACATGTGTTTGAGTTATACAGATCAACACATTAGCCAACAGCTACAAAACAGCCGATGCAGAACAGCTGTTAGCAACTACAGTGGCCTCAGCGCCACCCGTACTTTCGGAGAGAAGGTGTTTGGTGTCAGTGTGTTGGATGACGGATATGGGTGCCGGTTTTGATGGTTTGTTCCTCAACATCATGTTTAGTGACCTTACCCGCTGGTCCCCTCCTTCTCTGCGAGGGTCGTGCTTCTTGGCAAAGTGCCTCAGGTTGTCGTAGTTGTGGAAGTTGAAAAGCTCCACGAGGTCCTGGAATGAAAGGAGAATACAGAATACAGAGATAGATAAATACATTTTAGTCTACGCTATTCAAAAAGCCAATGATTTCAGTAGTAAACAGTCTGATTCGATTTGCACAGAGGCAGATTGTTGCACCCTGTCATGCTGTGTTTACTGGGATCTGTATCTGGGTCTGGCCTGCAGGTAATCATTCATCAGCCGTCACTTTCTTATCTAACAGGTTCAGTCACTCGAAAAGTACGTCAGCCAAGTTGAACCCTCAAGGACACTGTTGCATAATGTCCAATTATTGACCTCTTTTCATGTGGTATTTTTCTGTTTGTGATTGTTTGTGCACAAACAATTATTTCCTTGAAGCAAAAATATGAACACGATTGTACAAACCCTACATAAATGAGTGGAGAAACATAAGGAGTGCAGATGCTTCCACACAGGTCTACTGCATGCTGTGTGGTGTGTATAAATGCTGAGCAGGTCCAGTTGATTTTGTCAGAGGGATTGTATAGCAGGGTTGCAGTGCATAAACCACTCATTACTAGTTAAACTGCAATACAAATATGTCAAGATCCAAATCGGTGAGATGAAAAATTAATCAGAGGGCTTCACAATTAATCGAATATTAATCATGATAAATGAACGTGATTAAAATGTGTACTAGGCTCGTAGAACACTCTGCTGCATATCTAATCAAGCGCTCCCTAAACTAACTGCGAGCCACAACAGGTGATCGAGATGTTACGCACACCCCACCCCCAGTGATTTGTAAATAGTGGAATAATTATGATCTCAATATCGATCGGGATTATCATTTAGGCCATAATCATGTAGCCCTGGACTGTGTGTGTCTGTGTGTGACTGTCATTCGAAATGCAAGCTGCCCAAAACGCTCTCTTAACATACAAAAATGCATGCCTCCTCCTAAGCCATTTGTCATCTCTGCATACAATCACACACAGCTCTTTTTTTAAGCCCTGGCACGTAAAAGAAAACACTCAAAAATACGGTTTTCCTTCCCTGTCTCTGAATATGTATTCTTTGTATAAGTACACACTGCAGGCGTGCCGGACAATACGTACCAAGCAGAACTGTATTCCTCTGACTGAGTTGCCCAGCTTGTCTAGTGGAGGTGACCAGCACATAATACCCATCACGTTGGGTACAACCAGCAGGATCCCCCCTGCTACTCCAGATTTGGCTGGCAGACCAACCTACAACAGGGACAACAGAGCAGTTACATAACAGAAGACCAGCTGTGTGTATCTACAGTAGCAGCATGGGAGCGACACAATGCTGAAAACGGAAAGTCAGCAAAGAACAAGTCGACAGGCTTTAATAATTCACCAGATTTATCCACTGTGACAAAATGTAGGAATAGGAATTAATTACATTCTTTTTTTTATTATTCAAAAGAAGGCAAAAGGAGACGCAAGTATTTTTCTTGCAGTCCTTTATTTTTCATCACTTCAGAGGTGGAAACTGTTTCCAAACTCCACATTAACTATAATGGATATAATAAAAAGAAACGATCAGAAGAAGAGCAGACTTTCACTTGCTGTAAAAATGTGTGGTTTTTTCATGATAAACTGAAATGCTAAAAGATATTTTCACACATTGCACGTTCTCTCTACATTTAACAGGAGGTGTCTCATTAAAACGTCCTATCACAACGAACACCTCAGCTCATGCAGACGATGTGCTATAACCGCTATCCCATCCCGAAGCTTAGGTGTTTGTCTCTTTATAGTGTTGAGACATATATGCTCAGTGGTGTAGTGTCGGCTATACGTAGGTATACAGAGTATTTTCATCTTTTAGTCTCAGTATACCGACGTCTAAATCCTCTCTGATGTGCATCATTCAGTAGTGTTCTGTTAGCTGATTTTTTTCCCCCTAGGATGGCGAAGGAAAGATAAAGTTGGATGGTGTATGAAATAAGGAATAATTCACTATAAATGCTTAATTATGTAGTTGTCTCACGCGTCCGTGGGCCAGTATTGATGCAAAATTTGGACGTCTCCTGTGGCTAATGTTAATCTAATAACGATCCTTACTCCTCCAAGTCAAGCAGCAGAAGTTATATGCTTGTATCGAGACTTCAGTTTTATAATGTGGATACATCTTTCAACAATATTTCAAATTAGTTCAGTATTATACAGACTTATTAGAGCAAGAAGACAGGGATCAAATTGTACCAATTATTAGCCAAGTGTGTGCATAAAGTCCTTTGAATGTTGTATGGATTAATTTCAAACTAATGATTTACTAAATTCAAGTTCAAAGAATTCAAGGAATGTTACACGTACATAAATGCTTTACTAAGAAACACCTGTAGCAGTGTTCATGAAGCACTCTGTTAAAAAACTGTTAGAAATCAGTGCAGAAATAGAAGCTGACATCAAAGATCCTTCACCTGAAAGGTGTTGTGCACAGGTTCTCTGTATTCAGCAGTTATAGTAATTTGCAGTTGTCATTTCTATATCTGGAATGAAGCCAGCAACCCCTTAGTCGTTGGGACTGTGTACTTTCTGATTCACAAGTGAGGTTACTGCATAGTTTTGAACAAATACAATGTAATGCTAATGCTAATGTAAGAGGGTGACTACAGTGCATGTTGTTGACAAGAACTAGATTGATCTGTCATATGACCGGAGTCTTTCACTTACATGGAAAGCAAACTGTCCCGAGAAGTCGTACATGCCGCAGGAGTGCATCAGACTCAATGTGTTCCTCACCGCCTCGGGGCTCAGCACGCGCTCGCCCGTGATTGGGCAGATGCCGCCGTTGGCCAGGGTGGCTGCCATGACGCTGGCGCTCTCGCAGGTCACCTCAATGGAGCACAGCTGGAGGTTGACACAAAAACAGAATGTGTATCATTTCTCAAGCAAGATTTTCTTCCACTTGCTGTTTCATCTCGTGCCGAATGGAGTCATGGCACGAGAAGAGAGCAGTCTATTTCTACTATTTGTAGTTTAAGTACTTTAAAAGAACTAGAGGAAACTGCCAATGTAAGACTGAGATGTAAACTGTTCAAATTGGCTCTATTCTCTCAATAAAAATAATGAAAAAATAAGAATGGTGTTCATCCCTCCTCTAGAGTTTCAGAGACTTTAAGGATCTATGATGAGGAGTATTGGAGCTGTTCTGAAGGCTCATGGTGGATCAGTGCCTTAATAACACCATATTGGGTTTTCCTTTAGTTTACCACCCATCTGTACATGGTGCAGAAGCTATTTGAAGCATACAGGGAAGTAAACATGCTGAAAATCAGAGGGAGTTTAGCAGAAAGAAATGGATATGTGGCAAAAATTGGTAGAGGAGCAGAAACTGGATCTGGTCAGGATGTCTGATACTCAGGCATGAAATCAATAGTGTAGAAATCAATATTCTGTCATTAGATGAGTTGAAAACTGATACTGGAAGAAAAACAAAAACTGCTAAACTCACTTGAAAGTAGAAGTCCAGTACAGAGGTCATGTCTGTGCCCTCTGGGAAACACTGCAGAGAAACACAAAGAGTTAAAAAGTTGTTTACTATAAACTAACCCTTCCTAAGCCCCACCCCTTTTTACACCACCATATTTTTCCCCCCCAGGGGCCGGCTTGCAACCTAAACAAGCCTAGTGCACAGCATATCTAAGTAGGGAGAAAGTTGACTGAGGCTTCCTCAACTGTTATTGGAGCACAGACCAAAAAGGGGGCGGGACTTAGGAGTTATAATCAATTATAAATCCATTAAAGATTACAAAAGAATGCTGTTTTTTGATTGGGCTTTTAACAGTAGCTTGCTCCTCCTCTTACAAACGTCTAAACTTCATCCTCACAGTTACTTTCCAGCTGTGCAGGGCAGTTTAACATTAACAGAGAGACAAAACAAAGGCAGCAGTTCCCCATAACTCATCCAATGTCAAACCTTTTTCTCTTTCAGGTAGTAGCCGATGGCAAAGTTCCTGTCGCCTGACTCACGCTCAGACTGGAATCTGTCACACAAAGAGCAGAGCACTCCCATTACATAGAGGAAGGAAATATTTACACTGTGTGTCAGAGAGAGAGAGTGTGTGTTATCACTTGTGTGTTGGAATTTCGTCACCCCACCCCCCTTCATGTGTACAGTACAACCAGTGCTCTCATGCTATCATGTGATGATGCTGCAACGTGAGCCCCAGTGCTTGGGTCTTTTTCCAGAAACATTGTTAGCTTGTGGCGTCATCATGAATCATGCAAGTAGCCTTTAGATACCACGTCCAATCCCCATCAATAAAACAGATCCTCCAGCTGCAGTTTGCTTCAATACAAGCTTCATTAACAATATTTCATTCTCCTATGTACAGTCACTATCTACAGCAGAGAACCTGTAATTAAAGCCTGGTTTTATTTAACAAAGAGTGACTGGAAAACACTTTTTAAAGACTCTTCTTTCTTTTTAAGAATCAGGTATGAGTGTGCTTTGTATTCAAGCAAAAAGGTGTAATCTATGTGACCCAGTAGATAGTGTGGTAGAGGCTTTGTTAGCACTTCTGGTTGAAGGTGAACCCCTGTAGAATACATTTCTGCTATGAGTGGTGAAAGAGGAGATCTAGAAACTTTGACATGATTTAGATGGACTTACGTGGCGTTGCTGAAACCCACATACTCGTTTCCTGCCATCTTTTTCAGAAAGTTCATGACCTGGAGGGAAAACAGTGGGAGTGTTGAGTTCATTGTATGAGGTTCAATTTCTAAATTCACAATAACTTTGTTCCAATTTCAGACTACATACTTACTATAAACAGTATGTCATATCATACCAGCTTTACTGTTAGTATACAAGAAATCAAAGTCGTTTTATGATTCATACTAACAGTGCAGCTCCACTATGTTCACTAGTGAGTCACTAACTGTGTCTGCTGTTTGGTGCTGAACAGGTAGTGAACAATGGGTTTTTAGGGCCCTGACACGGTCGTTGGTGAGCCTGTTTAGCCTTAATTTTTAGCGGTGTGTTGCACACTGTTGGCACTCGTCAGCCCTCATCTGTGGCTTTTTTGATCGACTAAGCATGTTGAATCAGCAGCGGATGCTGAAAGAAATCCCTTTGATTGGCTTAAGCGAATCAGTGAGCAAAGCAGCAAACGACTTTGTTCGGGAACGCGTGAAAGGATGGTCTCATTTTTCTCACTTCATCTCATCTAATTATTCAAATACAGATATTTCTCTGTTAGAAGCAGCTGTTGAAACCATTAAAAACTTCATCCATTGGGCTGCTTTTGTTTGTTTTCCAGTGGTATTTTTTAAATGACGAATTCAGACTACCGCCACCGGCTGGTATGGAGAGTTATTACCACGTAAAGTACGTGCTCCTTGGCCATTCACTGTAGTCAGTGTGGTGTGTTTTAGTGTCACGTTTTGGCGAAGACACAGGTAACGTGAGGCGACACAACAGTCGGCTTTTGTCGCCACTAGTTCTTTGACGTCGGTTTGGTGTGTCTGGGCCTTTAGAGCGTTTTCTTTGAAAACAGCTGCCTGCTGCAGCTGATAACACTATGAGGGTGGTGACAGTAAACCACAACAGTAAAGTTGCAGCCTGACAGTTAAATAATGAGCTGGAGGTCATTATAAAGCTACAAAGGGAGCTCTCTGTAGGTTCACTGCAAGCGATATCTCTCCATGGATATTACAGAAATATAGATTATAGAAGCTTTAATGTCCAGCTGTGAGCAGCTACTTAGTTTTATTTGAATAGTGCATTGTGGGACACTAGTATATAACTAGTAACTAGTACATAACTAGTGTATATAAACCGCATACTTGAAAATCAAGTGTTTCTTTCAGTATACTTGTCACTTATCCATTGTACTTACTTTATACTCAAAACCTACTTAGAATTACTATGTAGTAAAGAATTGGTCAAATGTATTACTTTATTACACTTTCTAAACTTTGTAAAACAAAAAAAACAACAATACAGACAGGATTCTATAAAAACCCATTGTGTAATGAGTACACTCTGAATACTGTTGACTTCAATGTCTGACTCAGGTCTGACTTGCAATACTTACATAGTCAAATTTTTCTGCGTTGCCTGCACCTTGCTGAGGAGAGAACAAAAGAATAAGCAGTTAGTAGAGTTCTTTCAGCGAGGGGTGTTGCAGAGGACAAGCACAGCATCATAAAAGATAATACTAAAAATGATAATGCTACAGAATTAGCAGATGTAAATAGATTTATTCATTACATACACAATGTATTAAAAAAATCACATGAGCTTTGCCAAGAATTATACAAGTAGATAAAAAAATACATTAAAAAATATTAATAAGATTGGCTTGCGGATATGTTACAAAGAGGGAAGTCTTTTTGAGTGAAAAGGGAGATTTAGTAGACATGTGCATTACCAGAGCATAGCCAGTTAAAGAGAAACATGTCTCACCATTTACATCTCACTGATTTCCAAATAAGGATTCAATATTAAGTCTAATTATGTCAAAAAATTATAAAATCACAATTTTTCACAATGTGAAGCAGCCCTGACTGTGTGTGTGAGTCTACATGAAGTATAACTGCAGAGAGATGTGGGTGTATGCAGGTAAGTTTGTATCATGTGTTATCATAATACAGGTGTGTGTGTGCGTGCGTATGCGTTTGAGGATGTGTGTCTACTGTAGGTCAACATGTGTCATCTGTGCAAAAATGCCTGTCAGCCAAAACAGAGGGGAGAGGGAAATAAGGGAGGAATAGTCTTCCTCTGGGAATAAAATCCACAGCTCAGTGTACATTTATTTATCAGGTCATAAAGCTCATTGATGCTGCTTATCCCCACAAAGAAAACGCAGCAAAAGAAACACGCATGCACATTTAAAGTGCTATAGCATTATATTAGACTATTCATTATTCATATTTTGGATGGTGTGAAAAGATGTTTTTTTAACTTTAAATTTAAAAAACAGGCTGATGCTTCATGTACATTTTAAAACTCTACACCTTACTGTGCAGAAGCAAAAATAGGTGACACTGATGGAGGTGTTAAAGAGTCACTAAATGGGGTTTCTACAGAGCTGATTGGAGGAGAAAAAAGAAGGGGGAGGGGGGGATCAGGGGGTTGGGAGAGTGCGAGGAGATAGATATGGAAAAGGAAGAAAAAATTACCAACGTCATTTGACCTGCAGCAGCAGTCATTATTTCCCACAGTTCCTAAGTCTGGAAAATATGCAACAACATACAAAAACAGCAACAACATGTAGCCTTCAAGCACCATGTAACAACAGTTTGGGGCAAACAGCCACGGCAACCATCCCATACTTTCCCCACCGAGGTTAAAGCAAACTGGGCAACCTGACCAACAGGTTCACATTTGTGCTTCAGTATAGAAAAAAAAACACATTGAGACACTGATGACAATGGTGAGTGGATGTGGACACACAGTATTGTCTGCAAATGTGAGGTGATCATTTCTGGGGTGTGACTAGCAGTTTAACAAGTTTACTGTGTGATGGAAGAGTAACCCGCACATCAATCTATCCACATGCGACAATTTGTACAGCATGCATCATCAATTAATAATAAAACTGGGGGGAAACTGGTTTGACTTGAATAATGCGAACAAAAGAGTACAGCTATTATATAAAGCTCCTGTGTAGAGCAGGACCTCACTGGACTATGTGGTATTTAAGAGAATAAAATGACTAGATTTACTGAAATAGATTATTTAGAATGATGTCAGTATAGATCTGCTCACACTGCCAGCAATGTTTAAGAATTAGTTTAACATTTTAGGAAAAAAAGTCTGCATTTACTTTCCAGGAGCAACATAAGATCAATATTTATCTTGTGTGTGCAGACAGAACTGCTCTCCTTAGCTCAAAACCACTAATTACCACACTGCATAACATTTCTGTGACCTGTACATAAATGGAAATGTTAAAACAATATTTTTTAGAGGTTTTAGAGAGAGTTGGAACTATTTCTTGGCAAACTACAGTGCTGTGACGGTGGGCTGCTTCGTGGAGACGTCACAGTGAGTATGTTGCTAATTTCATCTGTCGGCTGTTTGGTGCTGGGCGGCAGTGAACTGTGGCTTACTGAGACAGTGAACACAACAGTAACGTTGCCATTAAATCTAAACAATGAGCTAAAAAAAAAAACATTAAAATACTACACAGAGCTGAGGGGAACTGGAGAGACACCTGATAATTCTTTATGGTTTTTTTAACTGAAATCTTGAATCTCTATCGCACTGGCATGAGATTAATAATCTTGTTTGCACTTTCCGAGAAAAAGCAAATGGGCATTTCCCAAAATGTTGAACTACTCTTTTAAAAAAAAACTTGCTCCCCATTTTCTGTGATGACTTAGTTTATTCTACCACTTAACACAATTTACTTTAAATTCTTCCTTCCTCTGCAAGGTCACAAACTGTAAATCCTGGACTTAGTATTTTGTGCCTTTAGAGTTTTTAAAGTCGAGCAGTTGTTTGACGACGAAGTCTCAATGACAGGGCCTGTTTTGTCTTTGGTAAATAATGTAATAAAATCACAAAAAGGAGTGACAGTTGGCCTCTAAACATCACTGGTTATAGAACAGATCACATCGCTGCTAAGACAAACAAGATGTTTGTGCTCTGTACAAATGTGGAGGGTAGTTTTACATAATGGTACCAAAGGTTTTGAATCAAAGATCAATGGTTCCTCAAGCTGTCTCCGTAGTAAAGAAATACAAAACAGTATTTAAACTAGAATACAAGTTAATAATCGGGTACCACTTCATTTGGATAGTCCACATACAGATAGTTGTCTCAGTTGTTTTGCTTTGTCTGTAGATGTTTAACAGATTATCTGTAGAGTGTACATGAACATACTCAAACGAGGATGGTTTATAGATTAGATCTAAATGGCTTTTTGACACAAAATGCAGTTTTTGAGCGCTCATTAAAAAAAAAAAAAAAAGTCTGCATAGTGTTTTAATGGATTATTCATTAATATTGCCCCATAAGCATAAATGTTGCTGAGCCGCACCGTAAAAAGGTAATTAGTAGTACTTTGCTTAAAAATTAACTTAGTGTAACCAACTTCAAACACATAGCACTGTTTAATGGCTTACTGTGTCAACTGTGGTGCCATCTTTGTTTTACATGCACAGTAAAAGGGCACTATTTATACATATGGGATTTAGAGAGTCCAAACCTGCTCCTCTTATTCAAATCTACTTGCATAAGCTTGTGCATTGTGGTTGTTTTCTGTCATGGTAAAATGACAGCACGATCAGATAAATGCCAGTGTGTGTCTGAGTGATTTCCCTGTCAACAGAAACCGTCACGTCAAGAATGAGGCAAAATATACGGAAGTTAAATAGGGTTATATTTGCAGGGTGGTAATGCACAGGAAGCACAGGTGAAAAAAAACTCAATTTAAAAAAAAAAAAAGGGAATGGGATTTTATGTGGACACTGAAAACACAGAGGTCCCAGAGCCTGAGAAGTGTAACACTCTGTTGTTGCCTACTTCTTTAAAAGTACAAAAGGTCCAAAATCAAATCATGATCAAACAGGCCAAATGATTCAGCATGCACCGTACATAGAGGATGATTTTAGGACCATCTATAGTTTAATTACTCTGTTTGGATTGCTTCATCTCAGGTAAAACAAAACCCTAATAATCACACCTCCAAGCTTTGATCGCATATTGTTTCTTACAACATCGATCAGAATGCCAGAAGGATGACGGGCATCATTAGCCATACAATTCAGGTCAAAGTCTAAGAGCTTGGCATAACCTAAGGTCATTTCCAGGAAAAGCTACAGACAAATACCAGAAGTTACAGGAAATGTGTCAAAAAAAAAACTGCAATACAGTCTTGCAGATGTAAGAAACAACAGAGCTGCAGCACAGTAAAGGTCTTTATAGACAGCTCGTATGTGAGTATGTATGTGTGCGAGCGCTAATAATTCACTGCTAGCACTGATTATGTGAAGAGAGCCTGGTGGGGTTAAAGAATTAAACATTAAACCTGAGTGATCATTAGCAGCTGTTATTAACTTAAGAATATAAAACTGCCAATGTGAAAACCTACTGACAAACCTGGCATTTAGGCCACATTTAATCGTTCCTTTGTTATGAGTAAACCTGAGAGCTGCAGCTTGCTTGACTTGACGGATGACGGGCGATGCATTTCTGCCAACTCGCTGTCAATCTGTCTTCACCATGAGTTAGAATTCAAATCCAAACCCTGGTGCCAAGAGATACGGAGGGGCTGTGGCGGGCAAGGTTTTTAAATCGGACTTCCTATCTCTCTTCATTAGCAGACTGTGGCTGGTCTCTCTCTGTGTGCACCTGCATTTGACTAGCAGGTTTATTTTCAGCAGGGACAGTAACAGTGTGGGTGCTAGGGCGCCTAAGTGCCTTCAGGAAGGATTAGCGCAAGTCTTAATCGCCACAACATGACACACGGCAGTGGCCGACTCAAGTAGTGACCTAGAAACAATTCCAGCTGAGTCAAGAGTCGTAAATATCTGAGCACACACGGAAGTTTATAATCTACTGAGAATAATAAAAAGTTGTCTAAAAAAGGCGATAAAACAGCAAAAAACTGCATTATTGGAGGTCTTCTTGATTGGGTCTGATTGTGTTCAACAGTCAAATCTTATCTGTTGCCAGTATTTATGTTAACCTTCAATTTATCTGCTTGATAAAGCAGCTCAGTGATATACCCACCTTTCAAGGAATTTTCTAGCTAAGACTTTAGTGGAAATGAGACACAAACTGGACATAAAAACAAACATGAAGATAGAAGAAAGACAAAAGTTAGACTGCTTTTACCTTTATCAGTGAAGTACACACAATAGCGCCAGCGTTCACCATGGGGTTGTGAGGCTTATCTGCAAGACAACAAGAGCTCAGTTGGACTGATGCAGAGGAACAAAGTGGAAACATTCAGTCACAATCTCGACGTCTGAGCGCTCTGTATATAGACAGATCAAACAGTGGCAATCTAATACAGGCAAAGCGCACTTGACTCAAGATACTACGGATAACAATATAAAGAGAATGTTTATAGTAAGATAAATAAGTATTTAAAATAGCAGCAGAATGCCTTTAATGTATAGTTTGGTTTTACCGAGTATATTTTGGCAGGCTGAAAGAGTCTGTGTGTATACGTATTGTTCGTATTGTATTTATGTTCTATGAACCGAATCTAACTTTGTACTATACAGTAACAACAAAGCAAATCCTGGTGGGGTTTGTAAAACACATAAATAAAAGAGTCATCTAAAGACATCATTAACTTCTACAGGAGAGGAAAAGCAGGAGATAGCTTTCCATTTTCATATCTTGCTCCGGGTAAAGCGAACTTCCTCAAATTCAACAACCAGATGAGAGGAAGTCTTCCTCCCTCAGATCTCTAAAGGAGTTAGAGTTCATTTACTCTTACATCATCTACATTTCCTCACTGGTGATCCTCTTACACAACAAACACGGGGCTATCCTGGCAGCCGAGAGGCAAAATTCCAACACAGGACGTGACGACAAGTACCACTCTGAGGATTGAAGCATTTCCTCAAACTGTGACTACGGTAACTAATATGAGATTTATCTTCATATTCAAATGGCCTTTGCAGCATAATTCATATGTTTGGCAGGGGTGAAAGTATATTTACTTAAGTATCGTACCCACTACATTTGTCTGACAGTTTAAGTTACTTCTTTTCAGATTACAATTTTTCATACCCTTCCTGTCCAGTAAAAACTATTCATCTCCAAATTTGGTGATTTTATCTGATAAACTGAAGGATTCCTTGGGTTGGGTTGGCTTGGGTTTTCCTACTTTATAAAAAAGGTCCAGTTTGTAACCATTAGGAGGATCTATTGGCAGAAATTGAATAAAATATATCTATAATATTTTCTGGTTGGGCTGTCAGCGTTTTTACGTGGCCATCGTAGACTTTCCCCTCACACTTGGAGAGGAGGGTGAAACAATTGAGTTGCAATATGCAACTACACTGCTAGATGCCACTAAATCCTACACACTGGTCCTAAAAGCTACATACACTGTTTAAAAACCCTACATTATCTGGAAAGCGTGTTGTCACAAAGGTGCGAACCGGGCTGTTTTTCATAAAAAGTTCTGGACTTTTTAAAGAAACGTGGTTCTCACCGGACAGCCACGCTGCAAACATACATTTTATAGAACATGACGCATTGCTGTAGAATAAACTACCCTAAAGTATATGAAGTAGTTTAAATGAGCTCAGCTTTAAACACTGACAGGGACCATTTTACTGCACAGTGACTACTTAGATACTTTCAGTGTTAATGTTGCTTTAAAAGAATCTGAATGCTTCTTTCATCACTGGTGTTTGGTAGCCACTCACATGCTCAGTTTAACTCAGCGTTTATTTTCACAATGCTGGGAAAAAAATCCTCTGATGCCAGCCTCTGACTCATTAACTTGGCAGCTCAGTCACAGCTCTCACTCTCTCCCCAGGACGCTAAAGCTAGACAGTTGACGAGCACTGGTAAATAACTATCTGGGTAGGTAGTAACAGACGGCCCCACCTAGTGTCTTTGGGTTCATGGGCGAAGGTAGTGAAATATCTACAGAGGTAGGGGAGATATGTAAAACATGTAGTGGGGAAAAACCTGTAAAAGCAGCCTGCAAAAAAAAATTTTTTTCTATTATTTGCATTCACCATTAACCTAAATGCTCCATTTTTTAACCAGACAAAAATAGCATTGAAGCACTAAATCAGAGGCTGGTATTGTAGGTTGTCACTTACAGTTTGCACACAGAGGATGTAGATATATTATAATGCAAACTGCACACAGGACACTCTTCATTGTCATGCTTGCACCAGATCTCTACTGCAACATCTTGAGGAGGGAACATGGTGTGTATGGGCTGATGGGTTTTTCAGACGCCCACAGGCAGAAGAATATTGCATGAACGTGAGGGAGGAAATAAAGAGAAAAAGGCTCACCATCGTCATTCAGGAAGAGCTTATTAAAGCGCAGGCCACTGGGCTCCTTCCCAATGAAACTGTGCACATACTCCGTGCTGTAGTCATGAACAGCAACAGCATACTTTAGAGGCTTGACACAGGACTGCAGACAGAAGGGGACCTTTGTGTCTCCGACTGTGTGTCTAAAAAGACAAAAGATAACAAGTTATCGGAGCTGGAAAAGCGGCTGCAATGTCAGAGATTAGAAGCAACACACTCAGAGAAAAACTAGAACAAAATGATAACTGATAAACACGTGAGTGCGTCACTAAAGATTTACCTTTCATAGAATAATGAAATTGTTTTCCCTGAGTGTTCAGGGAAAACAATCTTCAGTGACAATAAAAGAACCACACAATCTGTTCAGTGCCATGTTATCTTTATGACTTCCTCTCTTACACAAACTTAACAAATATACACACTTGGACTTTTACAGCTTCCTATCAGAGAACAAGCTGATCAAAACACCTGCTGACATCATAGCCTACACAGTGTTGATTATAATGCAATAAATACAGCCGGCCACAAAGTGGAATCAACACTTCTTTGAAACAGTGACCATTATAAGTTCACAAAGAGTTTATTACACTACATTATTAATTAGTTCCTTTTATTCTGTCCACCCCCAGGACTTTAATCATCATGTTCAGATTAAACACATGTTACACACTCATGGGTGGGGGTGGGGTTATTTAACAGTTAGACATTTAAATGTTTCACTAATACTAACACCTGACACTGCAGTTAAAATAGAAACGTGGCTAGTTATCATTCTTCACTTGATGCCGTTCAGTAATTGTTTAACCAACAGGAAG